GAAAGTTGATTAGCGAGTGCGCGAACGCCATTGTGTCCATGATGCTCACGCTTTATCACGGATTAGTTTCAAATACCAAATACCCCTGGAAATTAATATGCATGAACAGATTTCTACAGGTTAACAGTTTTCTTAGTGTTCGTAAGTTTTTTTCGGTGTATCAAATAGCTCAGTAGGATCAGCGGGCCTGTTTTATCAAGAAGCTGTAGGCCCGGCATCGAAACTGTCGGCGGCGGGCTGACGGGCCGACGTGAATTTCGAACACTGATCACCACGTGCTTCTGACTATGTACATGGAAAATCGTAATGAAATTCACAGCAACGTTTCTTTTTGCGTGCCATCACACTCCTGTGTCATTCCTAATTGCAGCTTTTTCCTCGATCCCAGGAAAGTTTTGCTATCACTCCCTCATACCAGCGCGGTGGCCACCCCTACATATACAGCAATAAGCATACCCAGGGAGTCTATAATAGACTCCCTGGCATACCCAAGCGACTGTAACAATCAGTGCATTTGCCCCCCCTTACTTCAATCAATGCCGCCCCAGCCAGCAAGCACAAGCCACGATGTGCACAGCCACGGACGAGGGTAACAGGGGTGTCGCGGGCTGCTTTTTTCGGGTTTTTTTCTTTTGTGAGAATGTGTAGGGCATGCGGGAGCGCGGGAGAATAGGTCCAGATGCGTGAGTCTCCCGCGAAATGCGGAGCGTGAGACTTGGTAGGTCTGTTAACAGAGTAAGATTTAAACTAAAAGGTGAACTTTTATTTTCGGAGTGCACCAAATGCAGTCTAAGACATTCAAATTTTTAAAATTTTGCTGGGGAGACCCCCAGAACCCCCTCTACCTCTCTCCCCCGCGTCTGCCTGCAGAATCCACATTCGTGCCCACTACACGCCTTTGAATCCATCATGCGCGTTTTTTTTCCCGACACTGGCCTTTACCGCCATTGTCTAATTTTCCCTCAGAAGAAATCCTGATATCGAGTTGTTTTCTTTTGTAAACAGAAATTGACGCTCAAAAACGGGAGCGAATTTCGTGTGATTTGCACTCGAAGCATTTTGCACGCAATGGAATATCGAGTAAAGAAGGGTACACCAGACAACTTCTAGTCGCCATTTATTTTTGGTGTTAACATTTCATGATTTAAATCCTGATATCGAGTTGTTTTCTTTTGTAAACAGAAATTGACGCTCAAAAACGGGAGCGAATTTCGTGTGATTTGCACTCGAAGCATTTTGCACGCAATGGAATATCGAGTAAAGAAGGGTACACCAGACAACTTCTAGTCGCCATTTATTTTTGGTGTTAACATTTCATGATTTTAATTTAAAAACCTTTAGTTAATGGCCAGTTGNAATTTCTCTGAAGTGAGAAAAAGAGGTATTTTTATTTCAAGACGAGCAGAGCTATTTGATAGAGAGGTATCTGATTACATGCCTGAGGGATTTGACCCATTTTCAAATACACGGGGGGAGTCTTTGATAGAGACCTACTACATCCACTTAAGAGCATACGACCCAGACGACAAATACAACACCCGAGAGAACGTGCGGAGTCTCGCAGTATTGCACCAACGCATGCTACGGTGTACTCTGGTACAGTTGAACCCGTTGCCGCAACCGAGACATTTGACGGGTGGCTAGGTGGATCGTTATCGTTGCTGGGTATCAGGGTTTCGTCATTTAAGCTGGGCGAACTGCTCCTTTTCCTTTTTTCCCCCTTTTTTCCCCCCGCAGACTTGGGTTCTGGCAGTAGTACTGAAATGAACAAACGGGTATTTTTCCATTTAAAGTTATAATATAAAATGTTTTCCATGTAAACTATTTTCTAAAATTTCTCTTACTATCAATTTTCTCATGTGGTCAGGTGTCTCACGTTATCGTCGTGCACGGCAGTACGCGAAGATCACAGGCCAAAGGCCAGGTGTAAATTATACATACAATTTATAATCTTTTGCAAGAATTTTCACTTCATGCAGTTTTTTTTTGTATGCAGTTTAGTAGTTTTCATACGCGCGGTTAAAATAACATCCACAAACGATCACATTTCGGACGCGAATTGTAACAGTTGTACGTAACTTTTTAAAATTTTGACGGCCATTTTTATAGCTAATGTACAGTATATTACGCGATTGGTGACGGTTCGACGGATGGATTTCATCGTAAATTTTATAGTTTTAATAAACAGTATATTACGCGATACGCGATTGGGGACGGTGCGAGATACGGCTATTACGGTATGGTATTATATACGGGTATTGCAATTATATTGTCATTTCATTGAATTTAGTTAAAATTGTGTTTGAATTATATTGTCATTTAATTGAATTTAGTTAAAATTGTATTTGCATTATATTGTCATTGAATCGAATCGGGTTAAATGGTATTTAAATTGTATTGGAATCCAATTGAGTCGAATTGTATTTAAATTGTATGTTATTAGTTGGCATGTTACGCGGTGGCGGTTACAAGAAACACTATGGTAAGATTATACACTTAAACGGTTACAATTACAAGCAAAGCTATCACGACGATAGTACAGCAAGTGTTTTGTCTGTAACAAATTTTAATGAGTTTCTCCAGTCAGGAGACTGGTTTGAAGCCGATAAAAATCGACTTTTTTTAGGGCGGGGTGAAATGTAGGACCGTGAAATACTCGAAAACTGATATTTCACACACCGCATAGGTAATTCGAAAACTGATATTTCACACACCGCATAGGTAATTAACGAAAAGGACGAGGGACGGCTCTAGCGGCCACCAACCACATACTTGGGGGGCCCTAAATAAATCAGCATTGTCACAAGGCGGTCAGTAACCGAGGCCACCCCGTACGTGTCCACCAGATGTCATTAAGGGAGAACCTTAATGACAGGCGGTGGCGACACGGCCGGGGTACAACGGCCTTCGACAAAGACCGCCGCGCGGTGGCGAGGTCGAGAGAGACGGATAAAAGGGAGGGTTGGAGTTAGTTCGAGAGAGACCCCGGCGAGGACTTGGTATGTGTATACACTGTTGCATTCGTGTTCTAGTATAAACCTATAGTTGTTTACCGTTTATACAACTCTTACGTCTACTGTCTACGAGCGTACATTCCACGCTACAATTTGGCGCTGTTGACCAAAAGAATCTTCGTCTCCCTTTGCGACACAACGCAAAGTGCTACCACTGCGATCGACGTGGCCGGAAGAACTTCACTGTCATCACTCACTTGTCGGGGAGTATAGCTAAACGATGCACGAAAGGCGAGAGAAACACTGAGTGAAGGCAGCTGGAACGATGAAGAAGAAGAAGAAGAAAGAAGACGAAAACCTATGACTATTGGACTATTGTGACGTTAGAATGAAGTGTTGCCGTTTTCGCCAGACGAGCATTGTGTATGGAAATGCCTACGAACAATGATGTTGCCGCTAAGGCGCATATAAGCCTAAACTTATCTTGTACAACCTGGATGTCGACGACGCAAGGAACAGTGAAATACATTCACGACAAAGCAAGGAACAGCACCCGAGATTCAGCAAATCTGCAGATCGCCGGATAACGCACGGAACAATGCATTAGTACAACATGTCATAGATCACAGCAGCCGAGACAGCACCCGAGATATCAGCTGCATTAGGAGTCTACCGCTGGCGACCAAGCAAGAAAGAGCGCAATGGATGAACGACATTGCAATACGTATTACGGGTAAGTGAAGCAATC